CGCGAGTAGTATTGGAAGCATCCCATGATGGATTTGAGTTGGTTTTGGTCTCTTGGTGACTCCAATTCAGTCAGTGGACGAAAGTGACTTGGATCAGGGCGGTAGCCTTTTTTCATCAATTGTGAAGCCCAGGAACTCCAGTTCTGGGGAATTGAACATGCACTTGGAAGCACAAATTGAGACATTCTTCTGGGCGAAACGTTCCAGGAGATTAGTTAGGCGTTCGTCATGTTCGACTTTCTTTGCACCAAAAACAATGGCATCATCCTGGTACGCTAGGACGCCATGAATGACTTCGTCTATAGCCGCCTGGAATATGCCGGAGGGTGTGTGGAGACCAAGTGGTAGAAAGTTGTATTGGTATAATCCCCATGGTGTATTGATCGTGGTGAATTGGTGGCATGCGGGATCAAGCGGGATCTGGAGGTAGGCGTCAGCCAAGTCAATCTTCGAAAAACATGTGCTACCATGTAAAGGTTTTATGAAGTCTTCTGGTTCCATGGTAGTGGCCGCACACTTTCGCAGCCGGGGGTTGAGTGTTAGTCTGTGGTTACCACAAATTCTTGGTGCCTTACCATCACTTTTAATTGCCATCACAATTGGTGTTCCCCATGCGCTGGACACGGCGTTTCAAAAAGATAGGTTCTATCTCAAATTCCAGTTTGGTCAGTCGAACTTTCATGCCTCCTGTGTTATTTGAACATTCCACAATCAGTCATTGTAGACGGGTGTGTACATTGGAAAGGGAACTCGTATGGAGCGACATAGAATGGTTCTGAGCGCGAATTGCAGTTTGGCCAGGTATGGATAGACTTTTTTTCACGATAATGAAGCGGATCGGGATACGGCGATTTTCTGTTGAGTGAACCATCAATGAAACCTCGCCAATCAATGGTGATTGGTGTCCAGTTACACCAAGAATTCGCATGGATGTCGGTTGGATTTTTGCTTCGGGACATATGGATCGAGGCACAGCATTAGAAATAATAGACTCCATACTTCCCGCGTCAACGATGAATTTGTGGTCAGTACGGATCACGGAATTGAATTTAGCACATTCGTGGGCTTGGAATTCACTAGGCAGCAGGTGGTTGAGCAGGAGCGATTTCAAGGACTCGTATGGTAGTTTAGCGGGAACCCCGGGAAATGCCAGGTTTCTTAGCAACGAATACTGATCACGGCCGCCAGCAGTGAGAAATAGGGCGGATTGTTTTTGCACACCACCTTTTCGAATACTGCACCAGAGTTCGAATTGCTCTACCCATTCCTCGATCTCGGATGGACTGACTTGCAGGTTCAATTGTTCAATACTTGGAATCTCAATTGCGCGACGCCAATTTGTGGTGATCGTAGAAGTAGTATTAGTGAAATTACGCACAGAATTCAGGACACGAACTACACAATAGGAATCACGGAACACGAATTAGAAAACCGGTGGCACTGGACCACAATCGTTTGAACTCGCAATAACCCGCAGGATCGAGACGCGAGGAAAAAGGCCACAAAACAGGCGAATCACCAAGTCGTTTACTGAAGGAGATGAAAGTGAATATATATGTATACAAGAGAAGATCATTGGCTACCTTAGTTTCCACCAATCATATTGCATCACATCTTGCGTCATACTGCTCTTCTCTGCATTGTATCTGATTGGCTGGAACGGTCCACCAATGCCGTGTATCCGGAGGCNTGACTACCAATGTCCGGAAACTGTACTGCGCTGCTCCAAGGCAGGCGTGATCTCGTAGATCCGAATCACCACACTTACTCATGACGTTTCTTGAGGCCGTTATTACCACAGTGGAGTTTTGATCTGAACGCCTTTTGCTGCGGTTTATAATCCACCTATCTGGAATAAGACTTTGAATATCCTAATTAATCAGATGGAGTACCCTGGCTATATGAAAACAGGCAACAATCATTGCGCATAGAAATAACACTCACACTTCGTTTTCCTTGCAGTAACTACTTTGTAACCTTTGGCCTTATTATCCAGGACCATGAAGAACCCTCTCTCGTGAACAATTCATTCAATCTTACATGACTTCCAGTTACTTAATAATATATTCTGCGCAAATGGTGTTACTCGTATGAGCAACGGCTTAAACGACTGCATGCCACTGGGCGTCGGATACCTTCTCATGGAATCTTTGGCAAGGCGAATTCCATGCGTCACTTCCAGTGACCTTACTGGTTGTAGTACCTTCTTAAACACATCCACTAATGAAGACCGAGGAGACAAGCCTGTCTTGAGGTGCCTATTTTCCGTCTCCACTCGGTTGGTAGTGAGGTTTCCTAAAGTCAACTTAGTCCTCACGGCATACCCTGCCCACTGCTCTCGGTATGGAAACCAAGTTCGGCGTAAATAAACACCTGCTTTTGTGCTACGACTTTCTACGGCGGCTAGGAATGTACTATCACAGTACACCATGCTGTTCATCCATGCGCTGCTTTTCGAACGTTGACGTACCAGATAGCTAGTTACATTTCTTCATATCCTTAACGAGATGGAAACGACA